GCGGGCCCCGCGGCGGGGCCAAGCCCACCCGTGGAACGGTGACGGTGCGGGGGGAGGAGGGCGGTAAGGTTCCCCCGGCCCGGCCGGGTTGAGCTCGGTTCGGGCAGGGTCGGAAAGCCCTCAAGAGGTGACCGAAAGGGATTGCGACATGCCGGGAGCGGTGTTTCCTCCGGGCTAACAATGAAAACGCGTGATTAAAACAACACGCGTGGTTCCCCGAGCTCTTCCCAGCGTGGGAGGGCGGGCAGCGGCCCCCGGGCCTTCCCCGCAGCCGCCCCCGCTCCGGCGTTGGGGCCCGGGCCAGCCGCCCCTCCCAGCGGGCATCGGCAACCTCCTGCCATCCTGCGCTTATGTTTTATTATTACTTTCTGATAAATCTCAGGGTTCTGTGCCAGGGGTGCTGCGTGCGGGACGTTTTTCCCCATCAGCAGTCAGCCACAAGCTGTTGCTGTCCACATCGCGGCTCTACGTGGGGTTTTTTTAGCCATTTTCTCCCAGATCCAAACTGTTGCTCCGGGACCGCGCGCGAGGGAACTGCCGAAACGCGCTGGTTTTGCGATAGGCTTCACAAAACTAAATATAGAGCAGACATTTGGTTCGAAGCATAAGCCGGATCCTTCACCGTGAACATGAGGCACCGCAGAAAGCTGCGAGAATATTATCTTTCTGATTTTTTTCCATCTGTGGTTTCAGATTTTCACAGGAGGTTCGAAGATGCTTAATAATCTTAAAGTATTATCTGAAGCCGAAAAAGACGCGTGAATTTTATGTGAAGAAAAATGCTAGTCATGTGACAGGCTGAATAAACCAAAATTATCTCCTAAGTTAAAAATAAACATCTAGCCTCTATTTCTTTGTTTCCTTTCTGAAGTTTTCTCCACGAGCGCTATGTGACAAGCAACAAAGAGGACTTGAAATAAAATCCATTATTGGTTTTTTTTCACCATTTGTGTGCCCGGTGCTTTATTTTAGTAGCATCTACTTTGAGTAACTTTAATTTGCAGTGGACTGCATGCGCCGCTCCGATGCGTGGAGGCCGCTATGGTGCAGGGCTCTCAAGCACCAGAGACCTCCGGAGACTTCAGATGAGGACCACCCTCATGATTCTCTCTCATAACATGGTAAGTTGCATTTTACTGGCCAAGCGATGTGCGAGAGCTCTCAAAACCTGTCCCCCATCATAACATCAGTCACAGGAGCAGTGAGTCAATACGTCCGTCCGACTGTGGAACCATAAAACACTGTTCAGAGGTGCCCCGTGCCTTATGACAAAAAAAACGCCATGTTTCCTTCAGAATCTGACAGTTCTGGCTCGCGATGGGAGTGGCCGCCGGGTGAGCAATTTACCGAGACTAAAATCCCCCGGAAATTCCTGGTGTCCCCCCATCACTTGCCAAATAAATTACTCATGAGTCGGTATGAGTTTGTGACTGGCAGCAAGCTGTCACGGCCTTGTGGCTTTTATTAAATTAATGTTTTATGGGGCTGTACAGAGGATATTACCTGGAACCCCACCATTTGTTCCCAAGATGCTAAATTTTTTGTTATTTGTTTTTTCCCCTCACAGTGACTGTCTCATTTCTTAGGCTGACCATCTTACTTACATTTCCCTTTCAACAGTCACTGTTCCGCTGTCTGTTTTTAATTCGATGAGAGCTCCTCGTGCTGCTGGGCATCCCGCCGGCGTCACGCAGAGGTGCGAGTGCTTCGGGACCCTCCCTGGGAGGAAGGCTCCGCAGGGCGCAGGCGTTGCAGGGCGCACGGGAACACAGGTGAGGAGGAGAGGAATGAGCCTCTCAGGAGTTATACAGTACGGAGGGAAACGTGCCGGCATGGGTACATAACAATGTGCTCGCGCTCGGGCCACCAAACCGCAGCGCCGTGCCTTACTGCGGGTCGGCATTTGCACCGGGAGGGGAAACAGAGCGCATCTTTCATTCAAGGGGGGGTTACTCAATAAAAGTTTAAAGGAGAAACCTGTCATTGGTGTTTCTCTCTGGCAAGAAGTGATGTGGCTCTTGGAAAAGCAGGGCTTACTGCAAGCTTCCCTCACGGGATCTCTGTTTTACCGTGGGTATAAAGGCTGGCGTCCTGCTCGGGAGAGCCCAGGCGGCTCGAGCGGCAGTGGTATGTGAGAAAAATACACACTAGTGGGGGGGGTGACACTCGTTATCCTCGTTGAGCCTCCACCTCTCAGTCAACATCTTTCTTGTTCATGCATGATAAAATACAAGAAGAACCCCGCATCAGTCACGCCAGCGGGAAACTGGCAAAGTTGATATCTTTAACATCCATCTTCTCCTTGTCACTGCTAACAGACAGGTTTCCCAGGCTGAATCGCACATCCGAACAACAGGACTCCACGCAGAATTTTCAAGTGTTTTCTTGTTAAGTTGGGTCACAACGCAGTCCCAGCGCTGTGAGATCAAACAAATCATTTCTGTTTTCCCTGCTGCAGACTTTTGAACAACCATAGTCTTTAAACAAGTGCTATTTCTTATAGAAAGAGTGACTTGAGGATTGCAGATTGCAGTCAGCATTCTCCCTGTGCAGTCAGATTAAGCCCTGAACATATTTAATGTTGAATATGTATTGGTGTTCTAATATATTTATATTTTTTTCTGTATCATTTCCGTTTGCTATCAGTGCAAACAGAACACTCAAATGAAGCGGCTCTGTCAGGACATTCGAATGGGAGGACTGAAAAGAGCTTTACAAAATGAAGCGTGTGAAATAAATACCCAAAACTACATGCAGTCACAATCCCATCCTATACCTATACCATATCTGCACATCTTAGTCTACCAGTGATTGAAAGTTTCATCGGCACAAACACGAAAAAACTGTTTTTTAACCAAGATAATGACCTAACAAGGATCATGTGGCTCTCGCAGGCCGTGTAGGTGAATCACGCACAGCGTGTGTGATCCAAGAAGGATCTTTGAATCATTGTGGCTGGAAAAAACCTTCAAGATCATCAAGTCCAACCGCTATCTAACTTTACGAGACCCGCTTCTAAACCATGTCCCTGAGCACCACATCATTTGAATACATCCAAGGATGGCAATTCAACCACCTCCCACCTTGAGCCTCTCCCCTTTGCAGGAGGAGGTGGGAGAGTCGTAGCCAAAGGCGGCCTGCCGGAGATCTTCCCTTTCATCCATTTCCTGCCGTCTTTGGGTGGTTTCCTGCGGGCACAGCGCTCCGACCTGACACGTCCGTGTCGGAACGCCTCCTCCGTGCCGACCCCAATGCAAAGCCAGCCCTCAGAGTGATACATGTTGGAAATTTCACAAAAGTCCGTGGGCCAACAGTGATTTGTGTCAGCTGCAGATCTGGCTCATGAAGTTCCTAACGTCTTGGAGCGCTTGGAATGAGCTACCTCTGCCAGCTGGGGGTCTGTGCTAGCCAGGCTTTGCTCTTCCCTTGTTTCCAAGGGTGGGAATGCCTCTCTCAGGCTGCGGTTTCTGCTGAAGTAGCAGATAAATCACGCCTGTTGTGCTGGAGTGGCTGGGCGAGAGGGAGATGGGCACGGAGGTATCGGGCGGGAGCACGTGGCTGTTTACCCATCTTTGGCTTCATCCGCACAAGGGCCCGGGGACCTCCTTCCCCGCTTCTCAGAACTTGTTAGAGGATGCTCGCCTC